ATAAGGAAAAAAATCGCCTACGGCACTCTCCTTATTTATTATATCACTCAATACTGAATGTAATCTTTTTTTTATTTTCGAAATCTAGCCGGCCTACTCCGGTCGAGCTACCAACTTTTCGCATCGGGATCAAAAGTACTACAATTTTGGTTTCATCCAATTTCTCGAAATCCTTGTTCAATTCTGTTGAAAAAACGAGTGACACCTTGTTTTGAAGAATGTTTGAGAAAGGAAGAATACCATAAAAATATTAGGTACATTTTCACATTGACGTTTCCGGGGCGAATTTGCTTCCGTATTCAACATAAAAATGGAACATGTTTTAGTACGGCAGACGGTGCGGTCTATCGTTCAATAACCCAATCATGGGGTATAACTTAATTGAACATCAAGGACATTTTTTGTCATCATCATCCACATATATAATGAGAAATTACGACATCGCCCCATGGTCGAGAGATTTTCTACAGGGAAAAATGTACGAAGATAGCGTTTCTCAATATGTCTGAAAAATAACAGTCTAACAATAATGGGGATGAAGCTAAACAAACATATGAGGGCTCATTTTGTAGCCTGAAGTATAACCAATCGAATGGTGTATTGACAATTCATATTTTATCATCCGAATATCTAAAAATTTCACCACTTTCAAAAACTATCCTATATAATTTTTCAATATTTCATTAATCTTCAACAAGCAAGAACTCGATTATTTTCCAAATGAACTACATCATATTTTCCCATCAAAAACTGCGTAATTTTATGAGGAACATTTCATCTCGATCAATGGTATGGATATTCCTAACAGTTTTTGTTCTGCAATTAAATTTTTAGGACAGCGCACCACAGTCGAGGCGTTTCGTCGGAGCAAAAATGTAAATTCAATAAAACATTCTAAGCGTAACGATCGATGAAACTTTCACTCGTCGCGCGCTTAGACCGTATTCTTCATTAAAATATGCTCATTTTGTCGAAATGGAAGATATGGTGAGCAATTTATATTTAACTAGATATCTTCGCGAATGTATAGTTGATTGTCACAAATGCAAATTAGGCGGTTTTTACAAGAAACATCATACAGAAAAGTAAACAATGTACATTTATTGATGGTCTTCGTCATCGGATTTTTCAATATTCTTACAATGAGCGTTACATTTACATTCAGTACAACAAAATACATCCCCTGTTTTGTAAATGCACTTCTGTGTTGAACATGTTTTTTCTGTACGCAGTAAATTCATACACCCAAATGGTCTACTGGTTAGCGCTGTCGACTTTCAGTCTGAAGGTCCATGGTTCGAATCGCTGTGAACTTGAACTTTTTTTTGCAACTTTTTTGTTTTTTTACTTCATTCTGGTTTTCCTTTTTCATAAAATATTTGAAGTCAAATAGGTTAGTTCGTTTAGGATAAACAGTCTCATTTTATTCAATTTTGTTGAAGAACTCAACATTTGAAATATATTATTAATCAATGTGTTTCTACACTCCATTCGGTTTTCCTTCCACAAAAATATTGCAATCAGGGATAGGTTAGTTCGTTAAGGATAAATAGTTTCTGAGTTTTGCCTAAGTACTTCGAAGATGAGATATTACGGTCGGCGTGGTTTGATGTGCTAGCGTACAGTATATTTAGTAAAATCGCAGCCAGGAAAGTAGTTGTTTTCTGTTGAATATACTGAGAATGAATTGATAATTTCATCACATACCGAATGCGAATTCTCTATGTATTTCTTTATATCTAAATAAACAGGTGCGGAAAAGTATGACATTCGGCATTTGTTAGGTAAACTACATTTTCGTCTAAACTCGACAATGCGAAGATCAATTATTGTTTTATTGATTGTTCTATCTCAGATTCACAGAGGCTGTTCAAAAAACTGCTTAGGAACTGGTGATGGGTTCAGTTTTGACGAGTGGATATGGTCAATATCATGGGAAATTAGTCTTCAAGTTCTGAATGGTTGGAGATGACATTTCGAGAATTACACAGATTAATATTAGCTTTGAGTATTCACACTCAGTTTTCATTCGTAGGATACCCGATTTCATCTTCGAATTTTGTCCGCCCTATATCCTATTTTTATCTGGTGGCGCCTATGGTCCAAGGTCACCTGATATAGATCAGAACCAGAATCAGATAGACAAGAACGTTTATTTAATAGCTTCCATAGTGAGTTTTACAAGAACGTTTATTCAATGGCTTCCATATGTATGTATGTATGTATGTATAAGCATTTTTTCATCAATCCCTATCTACAGCACCGCACTAATTATCGTTAATAAAGAATTCTCGAAACTAAATTCCGTAGCTGAACTTCGCGATTTCAATCTAGTTTCGTATCACCTTCTTCCTTTTTCTAGAAATATGGGTACAAAATACAAAATGAATGGATTTGGGTATGACATAGATTCATATAAAGAACATTCAATATCTTGTATCTATAATCAAACTTTGAAAACTCCAAAGTTTGTTGTAGAAAAAAATTGTAAAATTGTTTTATCCGTCATTCGGTTGCCCCTTCACGAGCAACCCTCAGAAGTCTTCGAAAGTCTTGTGCGAGCAAGGAATGACGGGGGCCTTACCTTTCAACGTGTGATCCCAAATACTTGTAACATGCCAAACACCTATTTCTCGAACCCTTCTCTCAACTGACTTCAAGGAATTGTAGTTTTTAAGAAAATACTTCAAATAAACACTTTGTTCTCCATATAGCAAAAAAGTTGGGTGACGTTCATATATTTCATATTGAAATGTGGTCATTCATCACTTCATATCATATGAACGATCTTATTCTCGAGTGTACAAGAGCAATAGGAACATAAAAGCAGGTCGAACTGAAAGTATACGTAGAATCCCCACATGACGTGAGACCAGGCAACACTGTGACCGGCGTTCGCTCTGCGCGTGGCTGGTAGGCCTCTCTGCAGTCTGTCATTTTACGGTTCTGCTGCATTACATTCTGATGAATTCCGATTCTGCCAATGTACGGTTTTGATTTTTTACGGTTCTGCTGACGTACAGTTCCTATATTTCACGATTCTGTCGATGTACGGTTCTGAATTTTTACGATTCTGTTATTTTACGGATCTAACATTTTACTATTCTGCTGAATTACGGTTCTGATAGTTTACGATTCTATCACAATACAGTATATGACATTACAGTCTGATGAAGTACATTCTGTCATTGTACGTTCTGATATAATATGATTCTGATGGAATACGGTCTGTTGTATTAGGAGTCTGTCGATGTACGGTTTCAGCATTTTACGATTCTTTCAATTTACAGTTCTGATATTTTGAGATTCTGTGAATATGCTGCTCTGATTTTTTGCTATTCTGTCAATGTACGGTTCTGACATTTTACTATTCTGTCGATAAACGGTCTTTTGTATTTCGATTCTGACAAAGTACGGTCTGCTAATGTGCGGTCTGTCATCCTGCGATTCTGACGAATTACGGTCTGTGTTGTTATGATTCTGACGAAATATCATTCCGCTGTGATGTTGGTTTGTTAGTTTTCGATTCTGTTTATTTGCGGATCTGCGATATTGCTATTATAGAAAAATACACATCTGCGCATTAGCAATCTGTTATTGTCTGGTATGCTCATGTACAGTATACAAAATACGGTTTGAGGTATTGCGGTTCTGTGCATCTACAGTAGAGATAAATACGATTCCTATAAAATATTGTTCTGTTAAGTTACTGGTTTGAAAATGTATATTCTGATGGATTACGGATCTGCGATTTTACATTCTGGTGATTTGTGTGTTCCCGCCATGGCCAACTAAGAATAAGTAAACTCAAGAATACGAGATTTCCTGGAACTGAGACATGTTAATTCGCCAATATTCCGAAAACTGTTGAGTGTAGGCATAGATAACCTCATTCAAAGTTAGCTCCATGTTCGATGCCGAATCGAATGAGAATATGAAATTGGGGTGGTTTCCATTTGAATACGAATAAATCGATACACAATCGAAAATAAATGATCATGTCCAGAAATGAAAAATATATTTGTCGGTCTGCAAATGCAATTTTCAACTTGAAATTTGAAATATTTCGAGAACAGTTAGACTTGGGTATGTGACATTATACATAAAATATTTTCAAAATCATGTGTGAGATCTAAATTCTTGATAATATAAAGGGTGTCGCATTTGAAATAACGAAGTTGGAGTCCACTTCCGGTACAACCAGAAATGCCACAATTTTCAAAATATCTCAGCCGGATAGTACTTATCAACAAAAGTGAACTGACAAAATTTCAGATTCGACTCACCTATGGTTTTCTATATATTGGTCTATGCATTTCCCGGAAAGACACCCTGTATAGGAAGGATAAGGGGAGTTGGTATAGGTATTGGATATTTTTCAACTCTTGGAGAAAATAGATTCTTGGTAAAGAAACCTAAAACTCTGTCGCTTTATAGATTAACTAGTTTTGGTGAAGAGTTGTTTGTCGTTATCCCAACTGTCATACGGAATTAGTTGAAATTTCAGGTGACAACTCAAAATCAACAAAAAAAAGTATCGCTTTTCAGTTCAACGACTTCGTTAGTCGCATTGAATTTAGCAAAAATGCGGAAAAGCAATATTGTATCTTTCAGAATTTCAATGTGCGTATAGAAAAGGAACAGTTTCTTCAAGTACGTATGGAAATTATTAACTCGAGCTGTGATTCATGTGGTACCCAACATAAACACTGCTGAATATCTATATTGAATCATTACAAAAATTCTTATCTTGAATTGTTCTCCTGCTTGGTAGAAAAGATTCATTTATTATTTCCTTGTTCCGATTTGAGTGAAAAAATCTTTCAGAAATTTGATGAGTACTATATATTTTGTCAACTCGAACGATATCTGAATGGATTTCTACCAATTTACCACTACATATTATTTCCGTTAGTTGATCTCGCAATCCTATTAATTACAATAATTACCTATTTATTGCTTGAAGATTCAGTCGGAAGATAAAATTGGATTGAACATACCTGTTAAAACAGCAACTAGCTGAGGAAACGTCCCTTCAAATATATTGGTGGAAGTCATTGCGAAATTATGATTATTCTTTTCTTCCACAGCTAGGTATTATATCTGTTCAGTTTGTCCCTAGGATGCGATTTAAAAGATTACAACAGAGATTACAACTTTTTGTTTGGCCATTACACAACAGTTAATATTACTTGAGCTATGTGATTGTCTGTCTGGATGAGTTTATTCATATATTAATAACCATTTAGTGAATTCACGAAATGTCTATATTATCATTTGATCTGTCTACTCGTTGTATTAGTTTGGCAGAAGTCGCAAAAAACATTTATATGTTGTGAGGAATATTTTCGTCCATTCATAATAGCACATTGGTTGGTGGTGTGTTGCTGATGGATTGATACATATAGGTACCTATACTCAATAACTAGAAAGGTGATGAGGTCATTATTATAATCAAATAATCTAACACAAAAATATATCAGAGATATCATGAAACTGAATAGAATATGAAAACGACCTGACTCAAGACTATCTTTCTGGATATGATTTAGAATTCTCCAGCGCTTATCCAATTATTCAGTATAGTTTGGAGAATGATGCTAGAGTCCGACCACGTTAACTTTGGGACACCACGTGATTCAATGCAGATGCATATTCAATGCATACGTGACCACGTGCTGTCCCAAAGTTAACGTGGCCGGACTCTACTTAATGAACATCGTGCTCAAGTATTTGTGGGGTAGTCCTTAGTGCCAAACACGGTCGAAAGAATATACAGTTTGTGATTTAATTCTAAATCTATTTGACAAAAAAGTTTTATATGAACTTATATGCCCTGAACCACTCAACATTCAAGCTGTGGTGTTAGGATTTTAAGACAAAATTCGTTTTTTTATCATAACTTCAATAGTGCTATTAATATTTAGGAGGAACCCACAACCTATTTGAATTCAACGCCACAAAAACTCCAGCCTGTTTTTTCTCTAGCAAGACGGAACTTAGTACGCCTGATATAACAATGTCTGGAACCTTCATTCTCACCAAGTCCACTATATCTATGCTCTGTATTTCCATCAGCAATACTCTCTCATGGGGATTCATGTCAGGTTCATCGCGAAAGCTGCTTCACGAAAACACGGGTTTTCATTCCGTGCAAAAATCTACTTCACACCTCCACAGCTTCTCATGATCTATACAAATCACAGATCGGCCAGTTTTGGAATACTGTTCCCACATATGGAGTTCAGCACCCAAACATACGGCGGTACTATTATATTCCATCCAAAGAGCCATCCGCCAGGTGGGTGATGCCGCTCTTACTAACTCTTCGATAGCATTGAAGCACTTGAGAATGGTAGGCGACCTTTTACCTTTCTATACACACCCACTGGAAATGTTCTTCAGAAATCGCTGTTTCGCTGTTATTATACCATCACTAGCAAACCCAGTCAGACCAACTCGACAAGCCCAGTCAGTCCATCATTTCGTTGTCAACCTCTAAATATGTCGAAGACCACTTCGTCAATACTTAAGTTTGTCTATAGAATGGCAAAGCTTTGGAATTTATCCAGATATGCCTAATGTCCCATATGTAGTACACCAATGCTAGCTCTATTGTTTCCAACACGTCATATAGCAAGAATACGCATTCATTTCACATGAAAGGGTTATGGACATGTCAAATATATTCAGAGAATTGCTCACTCAGAGAAATAGTCGGTAGTGAATACCAAACGTTTAGTAGAATAGACGTCAGTCACTACATTCATCAAATAATACCACTACAAACTTGTACTATACTAAACTATGAGTATTATACTATTTTGTAGTGGTAATATTTGATATAGTATAGTATTATATAATGTTGTAGTGGTATCATTTGATGAAAGTTGTGACTGGCGCCTATGTTACTAAACGTTTCGTAATATCTACCATCTTTTTTTTTTCAGTTCTTCATTTGTGCTCTACAACAGTTTGAAATAAGAGGTTATTTCGGCAAATGGTTGATTACAATGTACGCTTTGCTTGGTGAGTTATTTTCTCATTCTTGTAGTTATGTTCAAATACAATTTGTGGTCACACAATGATCAGGTGTATAGGATCAGGTAGACTAAACGATCTGAAACTGTAGAGATTGATATTTCATCGTACCTATCTAGATTGAATTCAATTTCAATTGTTTGTGAATTGTGTTATCTGAATAACTGATTCATTGAAATTTCAGGAATATGGAGTGAACTCAATACGGGGTAACTGGAAATTCAATCTAGAACTAGTTTCAGAAGAGATAATCTGCGAGAAGGGTAGTTATAGAGTTGATTGCAGTATCAGAGTGAGTTTGTCAGATTATTTCATCTCTAGAAACATACTCAGCGGATTTGTATCGAAGAGTTTCTTTACTGTGTATACTGTCAGTACTGAAGACCTGATCTATCCTGGTCTACAGACTGAGCATCCGTTTATTGCTCTCGCATGATGATTATGAGAATTTTTATCATCTCATCATCCGTACTAGTAATATTATTATTCATGATGAAATCGAAATTCTCGTCTATAATAGATCCAGCTATTAATTGAGACAATAGATATATCAGTTTTCCTAACATTAATAAACCATTGACAATCGCACACTGGCAAAGTGATGTATTAACAAGCGCTTTCACAATTTTTTTCACATGTGTCGTGAGTTCATAAATGTAATAGTACGATTCATTAATCAGGTAGGGAAACTTCCTTTTTTTCATCGCTTGGAGCGCACAAAATGGAATCCCTACAGTACACTCACACTATTTCTTGATTTTCATGGAATAATTCGATGTTGGTTCGGGTAAGATATATACGGAATGCTCACGATATTGATCATGTCCAAATTTTTTTTCTTATGGTCTGAAAATGAATGGTTACTATTATTTGATAAAGTTGGGTTCTCTGAGAAATTACCCGCGCCCATATGGTACAAAATGAAATCATCGGTGGGACATCAAGAGATAGCATGGACTTCTGGCTTACTGTTGAAAAATTTCGGTGTTTCAATCTTGACCGGTGTGAGATATAGAGTTGTGTTCGTAAACCACTACGGCATAATTATTTTCAGAAAAATGTTGATAACCTCCTGGGACCCTGCGTCCAATAGAATGGACGTTGGTTATTTTTTTAAATGAATGCAAACTCATGAATGTATCGATGTTTTTAGCTGGTGATCTAAAGAATCCGATGTATAAACCCAAACGGCAAACGCGTTCTATTGCAAAAACATGTGTTTCAAAAATTTGTTCATGAATTTCATGAAAGATAATGGATGTTGATGCAGAAGTCGTGTCTTTCTCAGTGGAAAAAGTTAATTACAAAATATTAAAAATAGTAAGGAAGTTGGTGCCGACTCTTGGCACACCCTGTGTAGCTGAAGGATTGAAAATATTTAAGGAAGCTTGAAAATGATCAATTTTGAAGTTTTTAATCCATCTGCAAGTTGGAACACTTCTAATATGTGGCATACGTAAATCACTCTGTATACCTTCAGTCACTTCACATCTGTGTAAAAATATACTGCTACTGGTCTACAATCCTGCTTACCTTACAAATGATTTGTAGAGTTGGCATCAATGCCAACAGTTTACTGAACCTCATTTGAACAGTCTTGTTGTTTCTAAAGTAGCTGTGATGCGATAACTTCATGATCATGTTTTTTATTCAGGTTCACCGATAATCTGATTTCGTTATCATTCTGAAGTGAGCGTAACATGAAGTAATCAAAACTAGTTTCGATGTAGTCTCTTTCAAATTTTCAATGAAAATTAACTAACCTACAAGATGTGGCTGAACCTATCGCTGTTGATTGGTGTTCTTCTAGTCGTCAGCGATGAGACAAGTGCGCACCGTATACTGGGTGTTTTTCCACTGGGAATGCCCAGTCATTACTTTCTTGGGAACTCTTTGCTGAAGGGCTTGGCGGAAGCTGGACACGATGTGACGATAGTGACTGTTTTTCATGAGAAAAATCCACCGAATGGGACGTACCGGGAAATTTTTCTTGATGGAGTATATGAAACACAGAGGGGTAAGTAGGTAGGTACCTAATTTTGATTGATTATTGAGAAATCAGAGGATATGTTGAATTATTATCTTTTTGTTCCTCTCACTCTCTGGAATGCCTTGTCATTCCACGTATCGCAAGCAAACAGCGTAACTCTGAATTTCGTACACCGTTTGCCTAATAGTTTCAGGCATTCCCTGTATATAATGAGGAAGGGAAGGTTCATTTAGGCCAAGTCAAGTAATTTTCTGAAAAATATAATTTCTAGGAAGAAGGTTCATTTAGGCGGAAAAATAGTCTCCCTTCTTTTGTATGCAGAAAAGATATTTTTCTCCGATTGGCAGCAAATATTAATTTTGCTGACACATATCAATCAGCAAAGTATTACTTTTCCTGCCTAGGCAGCAAAGTGGGTACTTTGCTGCCTAGGCAGCAAAATGGTTACTTTGCTGATTGATATGTGTCAGCAAAATTAATAATCCATAAATCGTTTATAATTTCCTTTATATTTCATCCGGGACTTCTCCGGCAACAAATTCAACTCTATATTTTTTGCCACCTCCCTCATTTCTGGAGGAGTAAGTACTTCCAGGTCGCTATCACTGTCCATTATATAATAATTTAAATATACCGATGTTTTTCCGCACAACTGTCAGAAATTTCATGAATTGTCAAACAATAATTATTATGGACATTTCCATAGCAACCAACCATTCCAACAACTGCGATTTCTATCAAATTTTATTTTAATTGAACACTACAGGAAAAATAAAGAGATTGTGAGAATTGTAATAATTTGCAAATACAATATCCTCCTACATCATTATGAACAATCGGAGAAAAAATTATATGTTCAACTCGGCAGCAAAGTAGATTGACTGCCTTAGCTGAAATCCTAGCCTCGCTACGCTCGGCTATGAATTCAGCCTCGGCAGTCAATCTACTACTTTGCTGCCTAGTTAAACAAATAACTATTTTCTTCCTCAATACGTGAAATGACATATATATACCGGATATCCAGGTATATCCAGAGTGTCCCTTTTTCGAGCTTAACCATGAGAAACTCGGTTATATTGAGAGAAATTGGAAAATGATATTACTTTCTTTTTACACACAGAGAAAGAAACGATTGACATTTCAACTTTTTTTTCTGAGGACGCTATGCCAATTTTTATATTTCTGAATGAGTACAGCTCTTTTTCCTGATGCCGACGATGTAGATCTACTGCACCACATATTCTGGTTCGATATAATATATGGTCGAAATGTCCTGATTAACAATTTTTCGAAGATTGCCATCATGGTAACGAATTTGTCGAATTTGTTGATTTTGAATTTTAACAGTTCAGTACAGATTCAACGAAAGAGTTGACTGTCGTTTGTTTCTTCCGTCGTCTGTAAGGAAAAATGTGATATCATTCTCGGATTCTTTGCCAAATTCTGCTTCAAGAACGTTTCGCTTAAAAATGCCTAACTGGATCGGTTTTCCTATAAAAAACTGAAAATAAAAATGGCAAAATTCAATCTTTTGGCGAAATGTCGAGAACTAAGGAAGATAGGTCAGATTTTCCTTTCAGCTTATTGTCCAGCACCAGAATGTGCCCTAATTTGAGCAACATCGTATCTCTCAAGATAACCGAGATACCAATGCTTTAAGCTCGAATTGCGGACACCCTGTATAGTGTGGAAAAGCTCTATAGTTCCATTCCAATAAAAGATAGAACATTTTGTTATTCCGGATAAAATATTCTGTATATTTGAGTATATTTAAGTTGAAATGCATTCATATTTTCATTCTCTTTCATTTGATGTCATATTTCCACATCGATGTTCTGTATTCCTCGAGATATAAATCTTTTCCTCGAAATTTCTTTCATTAGTTCCATCCCATGATGAAATGAACTTCATTGTTCATTGCTATAATTCTCATCATGAATGTATAGATGCAAATAAGATGCAAAAGATTTTTCGATAGTTGCTATTGCGAGCAGAAAAACTGAAATTTTTTGATATGTTCTTCATATCAACTTTCGATTTTCGAACGAAACACCCTTTATTTCATTGCATTTTTAGATTCTCCCTAAAGAGCTGCTTTTGATTCACTATTTTTTAATTGGAACAGATACAGGGTGATCAGAATTCTGAATCTTGAACAACCCAGTATTTGTACCAATTAAATGTTAGTAGATAGTAAATCAAAAGTTAAGATGGGGACATGATAGCCGTTTCAACCGATAATAAATAGTTTCAAAACAATAAAATCCGAAAGTTAAAAACTCTTGATTAATTGTGTACACCCTATATCTCTGTAATCATTCCTGTTAGACACCAAGTGTGATATACATTGATGGAAGCAGCTCTCCAGGAAGAATCTAAAAATGCAATGGAACACAGTGTGTTCTATTTGAAAATCGAAAGTTGATGCCCGTTACGCCTCAAGGTTACAACTTTGGAATATGATTATTGCAGTAAAATATCCCCCGCCAAATTCGAATCGACCTGTCCGACTGATTTTCAATTTTTTTAACGACATCGGAGATTAGAGGGGTGACAAGTTTAAGTTGGGACACACTGTATGTCTACAGAATACGGGATTTGATCCTGAACCCCCCATGAAGAAAATGTCTTCTGGCATCCTTTTGAATCCGTTGTTCGCAATATTCTCCAGAAGAAGGTTTCTTCAATGACATAACTACTTATTGAGCAGCTATAGGCGAATCATGCTAAGGAATACGCCCTCTACCGTTTTCTAATATAACTAACATATGGGCCATTGATTGCTTTGTTTACATCAGTTTGCATGTGTTTTATATGAGGAGTTGTTGTGTTTGAAGTTTGAATCGTCTATAATTTTGTTTTGAGATATTTTATAAACGTTTGAAAACATGAATCACTATTGTTGTGTACCCCATGTTCATCTTGAGCAAAAAACTTCCGAATATAGCTTTCATACCTTTCCAAAATCCGGACAACCCTAAACTGTATTTGTAGCTAAGTTGGGAAACAATGATGTGATCCATAGAAGAAAAATGTGAATTCATAACTTGAAGATTGGAAAAAAAGTGTCTGAGCATATTATGAGAGATTATTCTTTTCACTTTACTGAAAATTTACCCATATACTTCCATATATAATAGGCATATGTCTATTATGAATATTATACCTACTTCTTGGGGTAATAATAAAAAACAAACAAATTCTCAACTGATTATCTTTCATCATGAACTCATGAACAGTAGAATTTATAAACAGTGAAGAATTTCATCAACCAGAACCCTGGGTTTCACATAAAACATGTAACATTTTATTTATATAATTTTCTTCTATAACAATCTCAGTCGCCTATTGAAGTTATGGTTCTGAAAATAACCTCCTGTAAGAATCTATATGAACGATAACAAAAGAAAATTTACTAGGTTCAAGCATGTGTGTACGCTGGTTAAACTATACAGTATACCTGGCTTCCTATCTTTAGGATAGCCTTCACCTTCACATTCATGATTTGGCGGTAGGACAGTGATGCCAACTACTCGCAATTTAATAAAAACTTGATGGAAACGAATCAGATGATAACCGCATTCGATTACTAATGAAATCCCATATTCCCACATTTGCTTCATGAACAACAACTCATCATAATATCCTCACCTCATATTCGGAATATCTGACTTGAGATTTTGAGTTTTTTCAATATATTTTTTTTTATATAATTAATTGAAAACAAATTCATTACCTTCGCACTCCTTCGTAATTTTTTCTTATTATAGGTAGATATGTAGAACTATTATTTTTGAAATGGATTTAGGTGCATACGAAAAGTTGAGGCATTGATAGATTTTGGTTATTGTGATGAAAACGGATAAAAATAAATGTGCTATCTTGATCTAAACTATAGATTTTGCTTCATTCTCCAGGCATCGTAACTTTTTTTGTCAAAATCTGATGATGAATTCGAGTACTCATAAGTCGACACTGAATTTTTTTCAGAACCCATAAACAACTCATACAGAGTGATGAAATACGAATAAGTGTGAGCCCTCGTGTGAGCCACAATAAATAGACCCAAAGACAAAACGAACTCTCCTAGACCTCCGACTAGATAGGATCACTTTGAACAATGTTGATATTTTGTTTGACGGATGACGATTGACATGCATTTGCAAATTTTTATGATTTACGCATCACCAATAATTTGAATCTTAAATCAAGAGTGCAGAAATGAATAAACAATAGTTGACTTTTATTTCGAACAAAAGAATACTTATAGTAGTGGTTTATTTGACTACACAAGTGTACTGTGCCAGGGTCTGAGAATAATTTCATTCCTGACATTGTTTTCCAAATTTAAGAATACCATAAACTTATATCAGGATTCTGGAGTGAATGAAGTGTTTCAAGATCCCTGTGATAGTTGTTGAATTCTATTTTATTGTGATTATTATAAGTGATTACAGTTTGTATTACCTACTTGAAAAAGAATGCATTGAAATCATTCACTCTCATTCACTGACCATTTGCATTCCACAGTAGGTACCTATATACAGTGTGTCCACCTTAAGGACTTACCACCCCTGTAAAATTGTTATTATCTGACCAAGAGAGTGATTTTACTCATGAACTGTAATCGTGGCCAACTGCGACCAACTTTATTGACCCATATTTGAGAAAGTACTATAAGGGATTTTTTTTTCACAAAAAACAATGATGGATTCTGAATCACGATCACTTGAAAAACACCTTTACTGATTTTTATCATCATAAAACACAGGGTGTCCGAAAAAACGAATTATGTTTTTTTTTTCAATACGTGATCAGAAAATGTAGTATTGTGGTATTTTTGAGAAGAATTGATGACATATTATTATTGAGTATCACTTTGAACATATCTGTACCGATTTTCATCATTCAAAAATACGATGTGTATGAGAAAACAATTAAAAAGAAAAAGTAGGCAATATTTTTTCAGCAGAATCAGAATCAGAATCAGAATATTCTTTATTGTCAGAAGAAAAAGCTCTTGTAGA